TCTGCTTCTTTATAAATGCTGGTGCTGAAGATGAAGATGAGTCTTTGGGCTTCCTCGCTCTGCTCATCTCACAATTAGCAAATTCATCTCTGTCAGTGAGGTTGACAATGTTTCTGCCTTTCATCAAGGATGCTCCCATGTAACTGGATCGGTGAGGGTGTCTGAGCCATGCCTGGGCATGGCAACTGCATGTGTATAGGTCAACCACATTACTGCTTTCCATGCCAGCTGCAAGGACAGATGTGTTATAGCTGCTGAAGTGTTTAGAGCCTCTGGGAATGGAGAGCCATGATTATCACAGCTCAAAGAAGATTTTTAGGCCTTTGTTTCTTGTGTAGGTTTGGTTTGCTATCCCACTGAAAGAAAAGAAAATGCTATAACCTATTCAGCCTATCTGATGGGCTGTGGAGGGGTTGCAGGAGTATGAAAGGAAGTTCAGAGAGGGCTGCCAGGGTTACTAGCTTGACAGAAACCACTTCCTTCATAGCCACGTGCCCATCGCACCTGTCTCTGTTCATCACCCAGACCAGAGCTTCACTGTGTAGCATGAAAGGTGCATGTCATAAATGACAGTCGCCGGAAAATTCATTTTCAGATCTCTTATCGTAGCCTTTTCCGCCTGGGGCTCCAAGCCCAGGGACCCATTCAGTTCTGGTGCTTTTTCCCTCCCTAACGTCATTAGGCTGGATCTTTTCTTAGGGAGGCACCTTGCTCATTTTGCCTTAAGTACCATAGCTTATCATCTGCTCATTTGACTTGCTTCTGCTGTTAAGAAGAACCTTGTGAAGAGCCTTGCATTGGGATGCAGGTGATCCGGCTTCAAGTCCCACTTCTGTGCTGTGCATAGCTTGCTGAATCCACCCATGCCTCTGTGCTCTGTAAAATGGAGATAAATTAGTTGCCTTCTCATTTCAGCCCCAAAGAGCATTAACCAATTCTGAATGCAGTTACTGCCTTCCACCCTCCTCCTTCACAGGTCCTCAGTTATTAAGAGGTGGGTTCCTTCCTTGCAAAAGAGTTCAGCATTTCACCCAAATTCTGCACGTGCCCCCAGGAAAATGCATCCTGGCATCAACACGAAAAAACTCTCCTGCCATTGCCAGAGAACAGGAATAAAGTGGAATTTTGCAAGAACAAACTCCACCCAGCACCTAAATTCAGCCTAGTCCAGTGTGATATCGAGTTGTACAATGGGCCAGTATCAGTCTTCACAGTAGGACGATAGCAGGGCAGGCTCCTCAGCTGGTATACATTAGCATAGCCCCCCTCAAGACAAAGGATCTACATCGATTTATGCCAACTGAGAATCTTATTTCGTGTATTGTGCTGCTGTTACTCATAATGTGTGCTCTGCGCTTTGGCTCAAACCTCCAAGTTTGTTCTAAAGGTACGTTTAATTCTGCAGCCGGTAGTTTTACCACATCTGAAATGACTTCCAATGAAACTAAACCAAGTATGAAAAGTGCCTGCACCAAAACAGGCACAGATGAGATTTTTTGTGATAGCTCTCCGAGAAGGAAAATGGGGCTATTACTTGCATAATAAACTCAGCAGATTTGTTTGATGGAATCAGATCCCTTGAGTGTTGCAGCTGGCTGTAATACACTCCCCAAAATGGGGAGAAGTGAACTCAGCTAAATAATTTTTAAATCCCTGAAATGCATGTCTCCGTTCTCCTTGTGCAGCCTGGAGAAGCGAGAACTGAATTGCAATCATAAAGTTTAGAAAAACTATTGAAAACGGGGCAGATTCATATATACACGGCTGAAAGGTACAGCTGAGTTTTTCTTTCCATCATAAAGAAAAACCGAGGGGAAAAGTGACTTCACTCAAACTGTCCAGGGTAGCATATTGTCAAAGGAACCTGGGAGAGATGTTTCTCACAATTCAAGGAAACGCAGGAATTCGCTGTGCGTGAACCAGGTAAAATAAGAATCTCGTTACACCCCTGGTATTATTAATTGATGCTACAGTTCAGTCTGGGGGACTGTAAAATGAGCAGGAATAGAGCTGGTCAATATTTCATGCCTGAGGAGTCTCTCCCATCAGAGATGTCTTTTTATTCAATAAACAGTTTTCATGCCAAACTGTTTTTATAGAGACAGTTGCATTTCCCATGATATTTGTATCAACATTTTTCTCAAAATATGTACTCGGACTGTTTCGTTACCCAAAACCCCGTATTGATTTCAAAAATAATTTTGGCAATCAAGGAGTTAAAATACCCTGGAGAAGCCTGGGCAGGGGGGGAACGGAAAATGAAGTCTGCCAGCAGAATGGGAACTGCCTTGAAATGTTATGTAAAGTCATCTTCCTATTTTTCTCTCCGCTCAAATTGGGAGATGATTGTTTCCTGCTACGTCCCCAGCAGGAGCACACCTTATCCATTAGGCTAAGGGGTAGTCAAGGTAGCACTTCCTCTTGAACCTCTTCCACTGGGAAAGAAAGACTTCCGATTCATTGATTGGAAAGGAAAATGTGTGAGGGCATGAATAAAAATGAGCAATGGCAGTGTCAGCTGAAGGGACAAAGCGTTGTATAAATGCTTGTGACTTGTCTGGGTTTCTACTAAACCTGCGAAAATACACAAGTTTAATGATAGCTCCCACCCAACTGGGAAAAAACTATATCAACTCAAGACATTTCACTATTAAAGTAGTACATATTGAAGCCTACCAACACTCAGAGCAACTTTCATGCTTCAGTATTACTGCACGTACACCCGAGAGGATAGAATTTAATGCGGCAACACACCGGCAGCTGGCAATGAACCTTAGCAGAATTGCCTTACTTTTGTGGCTTTGTCGGCCACGAAACATGTTTGAGGTTTCTTGCTGTAGCTTTCAAAACTTCCTGTAATTCTCTTAGTGCCTCTGGTGTTTGGATTACGGAGAGTAAGTTTTGCATTCAGCATTATCCAAGACAAGGAGAAACGCCCTACTTACAGAAAAGTAAAAGGCTATTTCCACCTCCAGTCAAAGTGTAAGTAGATGGACACTCCTCCTGGGTAGGAAACCTAGTTACAACGTTTTATTGCCAACCCTTTGTCAATGAAAAATGCCCCCCTTTTTTTTTTCTAAAAGTGAACAATTATTCAGTACATCTTTGATGTTTTGAAAATTTCTGATTTTTAATGAAAAAACCAGAAGCTGGAATTCAACCTTTTTCATTATATAGTTGTTTTTGTCAGGGGCAAAGCGATCAAAGCTAAACGGATGTAATGGAACTGAGAGGGGCGCCCCAAAGGAAAAGCCAAAAAAAGTGTTCCATTTAGTCTTCATTTTCTTCTTTTAAAACCTGCTGGTTAAAAATATCATGAAAAAATATTGAGAAAGTGGTATTTTCCCCCCAAATATCTGATTTTTGACCAGCGTTGCTGAGAGTATGTAGTTAAAAGGACAAGCAACCTATTCATACAAGTCCTGAGCGAAGACCCGCTGGAGTGGAGACTCCCCTTATCTTCAGTGGGCTTTGCTAACATTGCATCAGAAAGACAAGCTGTTAAAATAAAATAACTACGACTGACAGCCTGGTAGATCTCAGAACAAAGTGAGGCATTGCTTTGGAGACTCAAGTCAACATAGATATAAACTGTCAGATTTAGGGCTAACACTGACCGGCAGCCGACAGAGGATAAGAAGAAAACTCCTCTGTGGACAGGTTAGCGTATTTTCTCGCATACCACCAAATATGACACACCCCTTGTTTTTGGAAAGCAGAATGCAACAACAAAAAAAGATGTTTCCAGAGTGCTGCTGGCAATGCAATGTAGTGTAAGTCCTCCGAGCATCCAAGAAGTGTTTCATCTTAGGAGACAATTTGGGTGAGGCAGCAGGAGCTTTTTGGTGTGATAGGACAGCAACAAGACTAGGCCCCAGACCCTTGCAAAGGCAGTAGCAAGACTTACTGGGGAGGGGGGAATTATGTAAAATGCTTGTTTCATTAGCAAAAGCCTTAGTAGTTTCAGATTAGAGTCAACCAGCTATTCTTGAAAGAGAAAAGTAACCTGGAGCTCTAATAAGTGACTTGAAGCAAACTGCATCCTTATGTTTAAATGCTAATAAATTATCTGTATAACAATAATACAGAGTAATCCTGAGCTTTTACAGGGCCTGGTACCATAGGAGCAGTTCTCTTATCATCTCTGCTGCTTTCTTTGGGCTTTGGGACAGACCATGTAGGGCTACTGACCCCATTAGGCAGTTATACCCAGACCTTCTCCACCTTCAAGACTTCTCTGCCTTCCAAGCTCTCAGCTACAGCAAAAATTATGCTGAAAGCTCACCAGTAAGCAGACCTGCCAGGCAGGCCATATGCAAAGTGAAGAGAGAGGCTCATCCGCTCAGCCTGGCCCCCTCCTTTCTGCCTGCCATCTGGCATCCTCCCCTAGGAGTAACCAGGAAAGTGCCAAATGATCCGTCTGTCCTCCAACCCTCCCTTAAACCTGCCATCACCCCTCTTCTCCTAATGCTTGGAAAGGTTTGGGAGTGCACCAGGCAGTAAGCCAGCCCAGGCCTGGAGAGGAGGCCAGGATTAGGATGCACAAGGAATTCATCCAGCTCCCCAGCAAAGCGCATATGGAGCCAGCCTGGCATCTCATTCGTGTCAGTGCAGCCCCGCTGGGGTCTGCATGGTTGCTCCAGAATCACCCTGGGCAGACAAGAGAGACTGCTGTCCTAGGGCTGGGAGCCAGAATATGTGACTGATGAGAGGAGACTGGTGGGTAACACCCTTTCTGTGCCAGGAGTGCAGATACCTTCAGAGCCATGCTGCATCCAGCTCACCGAGTGCAAGCTACATGGGATGGATCCACTTCCCACGCCACCCCTATCCAGCTTCAGTACCAGTGACACATTGTACAGGAACAAACAGCTCAACCAAGCAGTGTCCCTCATCCTCACCTCGGGCTGCCTTGCAGCAGATGCTAGCGAGAAGCAGCTCACACGCTAGCTGTGAGCTCCGTCATACACCCCGCCCCCAGCACTCTCCTGTTTCTGCAGACTCAAGACTTTTGGTCCCAGAGTGAAGAAGTGCACCAGATGTCAAGTGCCCTCAGATCTAAGATGGAGCGGCAGTGGCTCTGCCTCTGCATCTGGCTACATACCACAGGTAGGAAAGGTACCCTTTGTATATAGTACTTACTAACAAGAAGTGAACTCTAAAAACAACCGCGCGGGAGACTGAGAAACCATGGGGCGCGATGATAACCTTAGACTCTCCTTCCCTTCGTGTTTTATCACTGGTACAGAATAGAACATGTTACCATGTAGATAGATTAAAGGAAGTTATAGATTTACGGTTGTGTTGCATTACACATGGATGTAATCTCATTATATGTGCGTGTCGCCAAACCGTAATGCTCATTTCTGGAATGTAATGTAGTATATGGCAACTGTGTAATGTTCCAGGTTGATGTTGTAGGTCTAGCATCGATTCCACCACATATTAGTCGATGTACATGAAAGGATGTTATCAGTTTAAAATACGTTCACAAAGCCAGCTTCTGTAATCAGTTCAACCAGCACACACTTGAGTGTGTATGGAGAGAGGGATGGATAGGCGGACAGACAGATAGATAAAAATGCATTCCAAAATTATGGCAATATAACCAAGTGCTGAATCTGCTCCATAGATTCATAGTAAATATGGACATGTTATTAAAATATGCTATGTTGTTTAATCATTGAAATAGTACCAAAAATGCAGATTAAGGATAGGTTCTGTGGTATTATGGTTGCAGTATATAACCCCATACAGTTTAGCATTGCTTTTAACAGCACTTACATACTATGGTGCTTGTAGCATTCAAAACATCCACGATATATGTACGCACTAGAATAGTATATTATAAATATAAATTTAACTTGAGTTGTACCGACAGGTTTAGTGCATTATGAATTTTATGGGATGCTTTATAGTTGATTAAGTGTAAGGCCAGAGTAAGGCGAGAGCACCATGAATTTGAAATTAGATGCTAAGTTTGTAGTATCAAGTACCATGAACTATTTTACTTATTCTTTCCAGGAATGGAGACTTGGTAGAGTTTTCCCCCTGCTTGATTATGCAGCCTCTATACTCCTGTTGGTTATACTGAGATCATAAAGGCTGAAAGTCAAGACAGAATATAGGGATTAAATTAACTAATATGTCATAAAATAGAAGGTACAAGTTATGACTAGAGTTTTACTTCATTCTCATTTTGAGAAACTCCAAATGTTATAATTATACAAATTAGATATAGAAAAATGTTTGTAATTTTGGTGGTTTCCATGGCAAATCTGATTGGGAATGAACATTTATAAAGAGTAGCATTCCATTAGCATCTCCATGAAAGCCCGGTGAAGAGGAATCCGGCTGCAACACAAAATCATCCTTACAATCCTTATTCCCTTCAGTAGCAAATACAAAATTGTGTTGTAATTCTGCAATATCACCCTAGCTGTGAACTCCCAGTAGGCCCAGGAGTATGTTTAAGTGCTAATACCCGGTGCAATTTAGGATGGGATTTTTGGCATTACTGTATTCTCAGTCTGTTCCTATTGCTATCCCTGAGAGCCTTACCATTGGCTTCAATGGGAATAGGGTTAGGCCACTACTGAGCGCTCTTAAGAATTGCACCCATGTATACAGTAGTCCATTTGGTAAGCAATGACGTGGACTTTTTCATTCTATGGACACTAGAACAACAATCCCGCACACATGTATGGATGCCGTCTCATTCACTTTGCAAGACAAGGAAGTATTTGCCAGAATAAGATTTTACAGAAACAGACTTGGATACAGCACATAAAAATTAAAATTACATGACACTGGCCATCAGCATATTATACTGGCAGCCTGATCCCCTGTGTCGTGCTAGACATTTTCGAGAGAGAAAAAGGGATTGTGCTGCAAAGTTAGAGTCCATGTATTTACAAGGGACCAAATCCTGCTCGTTTGCCTCAGTGTGCAGACACCAGTGGAACTATTAATGTGAGGAAGTTGAGGCAGATTCAGGCCTGCTCTGAGAGTGGAGTCCACATCCAGAAATACTCTTCCAGGAAAAACACCCACTCACCCCAATGGGAATTTTGCTGGAATAAAGGCAACCAGGCTTAGCTTTTCGTTTGCTGGAAAGATAGTTGAGTGAGTTCTTCCCAGAAGCATTCAGAGATCAACGGGAATGTATTAAATGTATTAAAGTCAACACTGTCTCCAAGGGCCCAGATGAATGCACCTGAAATTCACCCATAAATCTAATCCCTAGTCCAGCCAAATTCCTGAGCTAAGCATTATTCTAGAGCGGGTTTTAGGCTAATGGTAATGTAGCCACCTGACCCCATTTTTAACCCTAGGACAGCCAGAAGTGCTACGTCACGGTTAAAGCAATGATCCTTGCAGGCAGGTGTCAGCCCCTGATATCTGGTCTGTGGGGTCTGTACAGGTGCAGAATTCAGCTGCGTGGATCAAGCATTCAAGCAAGACAGGGGCTCAAGCATTATTATTAGCAACACTTGCTATGCATGAGCCCAGGTTTCTAAAAGAGCATGTGCCCTCTATGACCAAGGGGCAAGAAATGTGAGAGAAACCTGTCTCGCTGAAGGCATGCCTCACAAACATACACAGGAAGCAGGTTGGTGGGGCAGGGGTCATGGTTGCGCAGTATTATTTTTATTGTGTTGCACAATACACAGAGTTTGTTGGTGCATCTGCTGGAAAAAAACGTAATTCCCTCTATCATTCCTGCACAAGCATGTATACAATTTTCTCTCTTTTCTCCCTACTTGGGCACACGCACACATATCACATAGGCACCGAGATAAATGATTAGCATTGATTTTTGAGCCCAGCAATGTGATTCAGATCTCTTTACCACTGGATATATTGGCAACAAGAGGAATAGGACACGCAGCAATAATATTAACTCTTGGGGGTGATAGGTCTCAAGATTTTCTCATGGATCTCTATATTTGGAGCCAAGAGATTACGTGATATTTGCAAAAGCTGATTTCAATATTTCTCGAGGTCCCTTCCAGCCCTACTTCTCTGTGTTTCTCTGATTCTCTGAATACTGCCGACCCAAAGCATTCAAACCGTAAGTCTAAGCCATTCTAACCAAAATCACAAGATCGGTATAAAAAGAAGACGACAACTAGCCGTAGTAATAGTGATGGCATTAATGATAATGTTCTTGTTATTTTCCTTCTGAGTTTTGAGTGTTTAGAGCTCATATATCAGCCTTTCTCTGTAACTAGGAAGCTAAAATTTAGGATTTTAAAGAAAGCAGAAATTGTCCCATAATCCCTTGATTTCAAATATTGAGATTTATGAAGAAATCAAAAAACAGTCACAGTGAGTTAATGCCATTGTTAAGTGTCCCATCCCTCTGGTCGCTGATGTTTCCATCCATAAAGAGATCAGAAAGATTTTGCTAATTTCCTGGCTCAAAAAAATCATTGCTACTAAAAGTAAGCAAGAAGGCCGGGCTTAGGTACCCTTACTGACACTGGGTGCATCTACATGTGCTATTAGCACAGAGCAATAAACTCCGGTGCATATCACGCCACGGTTTATTGCTCCTCGGTGCCTCATTTACAAATGTGCCTGGGACCGCAGTACATTGAGCCAGGTCAGAGCAGCCCTGGCTGGCAGGGGCTGCACCGACCCAGCTCAGTGTGCTATGGAGGGGCTGGCCAGGGTACAGAGGTGCTTCAGTGCAGGGGTAGCCAGCAGACACACCCTGCACTGAAGCACCCTTGTGCCCCAGCCAGCCCCACCAGCATCTACATATGCATTGCTTCACAGTAAATAATGCTGCCGCAGAATAGTACTTGTATTTACAAGTACTAATTTATGGCGGCATTCATTACTTTACTGCGACCTAATAGGGCCACACATGTAGATGCAGAGATTTTACCGCAGAGCTAATTAGACAACTCCACAGTAAATGTCTCATGTAGACGCACCTAGTGAGTAGCACTTTTCCCCACAAATAGTCTAAATAAAGTCAACAGGCAGGACTGCAGGACACTATTCCCAATGAGTGGTAGAACCTACTCCTGGAGCACTCCCACTGAGGTCAGTGGGATCATTGGAGCTGTGAATACAACTGAAGGCAAGTAAAGATATTGAGGAATCAAGCTGCGATGGCTCTAAGGCGCTCTTCATCATGAAAAAGGGTGATGAAAATCTGACCCGTATTTGGTATTTTTTTTTACTTTAAATCAGTTGGTCCAAGTCCCACATGCTTGCAAATCTTCCAAAGCCCAGATCCTGCAACAGGTGACAGACAGAGAATAAACAAACGGACGGTCCATTTAAATCAGCCAGAGTAGTATCACTTTTGTCTGTGATGTAAATTGGGAGAGTAGCATTGACACAGCCGCAGATCTGGGTGTCTGCTTAACCACCTATCGTTAAATGTCAGGAGTAAAACTAAATCTCTAAAAAATGCATTAAAATAGATCTGAATGCTGTGGAGTGCTGAGTGCCATCAGCTCCCATTAACTTGAATACCTTGCCAGTGTTTCTGTGGGCTGCTTATTGTATTTGTCCTTGGCCAAGCTGGGGTTCTTCCCTTTGTGTGTTTTGATACCTTATTTAAAAAGATCTTCAGCCTGTTTTGTTGCTTTTCCAGCCAGAGAGAATCCAGCAAACAAGCTAATACGTTTATAAAGAAATGGCAAAAAGGGGTAAAACATGCCCAAAGCATGATAAAGCACTAAAGCTATGAAAAGGGGGAAAACATCTCCATAGGAAAGATGTGAAACCCCCATTGATTGGGAGTTTTAAATATAGACCGGGTAACAGACTAGAAATTTATTAACTGATCAATTGTTCAATCAGGCTATTTATCTAATTATGTAGTGTCTCTGCCTGTCAAGATGCGTATTTGTAAAACAGCAATTGCCATAGTATCTGAACTGTGGTTGCAAGATGCTGGCATGGCAAGGTGTAAGGGAACAATCAAGAATTGTCCTGGAAGATGGGCTAGATTTCCTAATGGATCTGACCCATTGTATATGAGTTCATGATTTTATGAGCACAGAAATATGTAAGCTTATGAAGAAGACCTTCATTTGTCATGCATAGAAATCAGTACTTAGAGCACTGATACATATTATTTTCTTCCAATAGGTTACCTCACCGATTCCAGTTTATTTCAGACTCCACCATGTATTATAGCCCTGAACAGCAATACCACAGAAATTGCCTGTGTAATAAAAAGTGAGGAGCTTTCTAATCAGGGCATTTACTGGTACCGCTGGAGCAAGGGGACCAAAACTTTCCAGTTTATAGCATTTGCGACAATGATGAACAGGTACACTTATGGCAATGGCTTTAAGGACGACAGATTTTGTATAAGCAAGGACAGCTTCCGAAAATCCCTTTCCCTGAAGATTCTCCGGCTTCAGCCATCAGACAATGGCACCTATTACTGTGCTGTGTCCCATTCTTCAATGCTCATCCTCGGCAATGGGACAGAGCTGAGTGTGGGTAAGTGCTTTTTTACACAGGCCATAATCTGTCTGAGGACTTTGGAGCATCCTGTTTTTTGGTACAGTGAGACCTCAGTTTAGGTGTGGCTGCAGTATAAATATTAAAGCAATAGAAAGAACTAATAAAAACAGTAGGTTTGTATTGATGGGTGCTCAGATCCTGCTAATTTTCCTCATTGCTTTCAATGACACTGTCAGTGTGGGGAGGATAAGAAAGCTTTGGAACGTGCTGTAAGACAGGTACATATTAGTCAGAAAACATAGAGAAATTGCTTTAGAAGAATGACAGCTTATAATAAATTGTAACCTTTTTGCTACCACCAGTCTCCCAATTACAATTACACTGAGGCGGTCTAACACCGCATGTTTGAGGATTTCTCTAGTTACAGAGCAAGTTTTCCTATGAATCGGAATCATTTTCTTACTTGAGTTCACAGATCATCCTCGCTGACCCATTCTGTTTCTCACACACCATTGACTGATATCCTAACGATGCCCGTAAATTAGGGGGGATTCAGTGACTGTGTGGGTCAGTCAGAAGACATCATGCTTTTCACAACCAGGCCCTGAATACAAGATTGCTGCAGGCTGATAATGGCTGATATCTCTCACCACTGAGCGGTTGTGAATGTATTATGTGAAATGGGGCAGGGGTCTCCATCCACAGTCCCCCCAGGGACAGGTTTCCACATCATCACTGATGACATTGGTGACAACCTTGGTGGCTAGACGACTCCATAGGAGGGACAGCCTAGGACAGACGGGGCCAGGGAGAGTGAGCTCTTTTCTGATTCCTTAGGCTAGTTCCAATAGGTCCAGGATGAGGCATGTTGGTATGTCTGCTTGCACTGCTGCTGCCCCTAATCCTATACACGTAGTCTGATGCAGGCAAGTAGTCAGCATTAATGAAGTCAATAAATGGGGCTTCTCACAATACAGGGGCCCAGCCGCAAGGCTCTGACTCCAGATCTGAAGTCACTCGCTGTCCTCATCTGTGCATAAATTAAAGACTTTTGGTCACTACGGATCTAGTCCATCACATTCCATAAGCTCTAAACTAAAAATCAGTGGGACTTTTGTATGGCTGTAAGGATCTCTCCTCTATCAGATACCACTGCACCTTAGAGAGGTTATTGTAGATTCATAAGCTTTCGACAATATTCTTCAGCCCACAGCTCTTCTGATTCACAGCTAAGGAATGATGGTAGAAAAAATAGGGTGCTTGGATGTACAGCATCTCATCACGGGCTTCAGGCCCTTCCTTGCTGCTTCTTTTTAAAGCTATATAAGTTCTAAGACTATAAATCCTTTCACTATTAGTGTTATGAAGAGTGTAATATTGTCATAATTATTGGCTTTAAAAATGTCCACATTCTTCCATTCTAATGCAGAATGTGCTCTGAGCAAATATATATCCAGGCACTTAACCAGCATTGCATTGGCTAAGGGCGCCCCTTCTCAAATCTGGCTTACTTGAAAGTCAAGCTACTTTAAAATAGAAAATGACTTCATAATTCCTAGGAATTATTACCACACCAGAACAAGGCATCCAAAAAACTACATCCCTAGCCCCCAGATAATGAGGATATTCATTTGGAGCTGAGCCCCAGGAGACTGAGGATGAGAAATCTAGCTTTATTCGCTTTTCTAATGCCTACTGCTCTATAGGAAAGACGCATACGAGTAAATCCCAATTATCTATCTCATGAGAGATGCAAAATGCTCAAAAAACTATTGTAATAAAATGAATTGTGATCTCAATTTGTGAGGGAGAGGAGGTCATTTTGGATAGCCCAGAGTTCTGGATAACTGGACTTTGAATGATCAAGTCTGTAATCACATAATTACAGTATATACTTGGGGTATGTACTGTAGTTATTAAGGGTAGAAACATGACCATGACCATGAACATGACTATATGCATTACAAAAACACATGACCATGTTATGTTATAACTCATAGTCAGTAATTAGCCATGGGCCTTATTTAATCACCACCATAGTCAACAAAAATGCTTAAGCTACCCAAGTTTTCTATCATGTGAAAGTGGATACAAGGGTTGAGATGTACTAGGGTCTGTGCTGCAGCTATTGATTCTACTCAGTAGGTGCTGGGATACCACAGTGATGAGTAACAATGCAATACCCTGTCATAAATGGATAAGCCTTTTGAAGAACATTCAGTCTATATTAGACTGAAGACAACAGGAGATGTGGATAAATCTGAGCATTTTGGAATTACAAACCCTGGTATAAGGCAATCAAGACTCGTAGTAGAGATGATATCTTTTATTAGACCAACAAGATTTTTGCAAAAAAATGTCTTTAATTGCAAGCTTTCAGGCACAAACACCCTTCATCGGGCATAGGAGAAAAGATTTTAACAGTTCTCCTGGGTAGAAATGAAAGTTCAGGATTTCACAGGGGAGTCAAGAGATGGGAAGCTCCTCTGGGCAGGCAGTTCATAAACATGAACTTTCATTTCTACCCAGAAGAACTTTTACAATCTTTTCTCCAATGCCCAATGAAGGGTGTTTGTGCCCGAGAGCTTGCAATTGAAGAATTTTTTTTGCAAAAATCTTGTAGGTCTAATAAAAGATACCATCTCTACTATGAGTCCTGATTGCCTTTTCCTCTAGACCAATACGGCTCCAACCTGGATACCAAACCCTGGTGTAAGAATTTAGGCAGATGTATCTTTCTGACACCCATTCCCTGCTTCTCTGCTGTTAGGAAAAATAATAAACTATGGTGCTTTAAAACGTTTGGGGACATACCAGCAATACTTTAATCCAGTTAGAGGGCCTGATTCTACACATACTTACTCCTGGGTGTAAACCCAAACCAGCAGGATTGTGGTTGGCCGTAAGTACTTTTTGTGGCAGTAGGTGCTGTAATTCAGAAGATACCTTCACGTATGCTATCTCACAGCTCTGCTCCGTTAACATGCTTTAAGATTAAGGGCTCTGATTGATTTGAACAACAGGATTCATTCTGCCTTTACTCGCTCTTAGAAGTATTATCCTGTTGTTCAAATCATTCTGCCTTTACTCGCTCTTAGAAGTATTTTAACCCTCAGCCAGTGCTAACAAAACCTAGTTTTACGCAAATGAAACTTTCTGATAAATGGTATTTAGGGCAGAATGTGAAGTCACACACATGCTTAGGAAGCATAATGACTAGTGATTATTATACAGCCCAGTGTTATTCCCACTCAGTTGGGTAGAGATTTGACAGTTTTGGGGCAGGGCTGGACCTTTCCCCTCTAGTCATGTTTCTAAATATTTTTTGGCTGCTTTAAAAATTAATTCTACGGTCTATATTAAAGGACTCCAGCACTGTCTCAAAGTTATTAGTCACTTTTGAAATGCTTGGCTTATTTGTCAGAAGTTGTCAAACTCTCTTAAAGCCTACCCATTTACCAAAAATTGGTCCTTTCCACAGAACACAATTCAGAGGCACACAAGAGTAAAGAGTCTCTCATTTGCAGGAAGTTCGTTTTAAAACTAAGGCAATTTTTTCCTGTTACTTGTATCCTGCTCTTGCTGACCCGCTGTGGGACATTAACTCCTTTTCATCATTTCAGTCGACTCTTTGCCTCCTGCCAAGAAAGCTAAAGAGGAAGAGTTATACCCAAAGAAGACTTCAAATTGCAGAAACATGCATAGGTCGTCTAGAAACAAGAAAGGTACGGCTGCATTTCAACCAGCCTCTGCAACATGGCACAGGACGTGGCGATCCTTAGTGTGACTTCATTACAGAGGTGAAGTCATGGGAGAGCTGCACGTGGCATGCAGTACTCTGTATTCTCAGCTGCACAAGAGGAAATCTGGTGTGATTGCACTTCAGTCAGTGCAATGGTCATCCCTTCTGCCCACCAAAGCAAATAAGAGCAAGCTGGTCTGAGCACACCTGTCAGCAGAGATCCTGCGGCTCTCAGAGAAGTGCAGGAGACTCTCCAGACCCTTCTGTGTAGCCAGGAAATCCTTCCATTCCTAAATGTGAAATATTCACGCACAGCTCCTGATCTCTCCCCTGGGTGCAGACCCCTCACTCCCACTCGTGCATATAGTAGTACCGGTCTGACAAAGCTTCTGTCAAAGGGACAGCCCTGGCCTAGGCACCTCTATGAAAGGGTTCCCCAAACCCCAGAGGGGGTCCCAAGAAAAAGCAACCTTAGCTCAGGGCAACATGACTTTGTGAGTAAGTGCCTGGGTTTAGGGTTACTGCACTTCCCCAGCCAGACCTCCACCTGTCCTCCTCCCTCCTGCAGCCCACCCAGTCCCTGCTCCTCCCAAGACCCAGGGTCAGTGGATGGGAGGAGCAGGGCAGTGGCTGGGAGAGGGCTGGTGGGGACACAGTGCCCCCATCTCCTCTCCCCTATGTTTCAGGAGCTACAAGGCACAGGTTGCCTGCTGCTTGCTATAACACACACTGTGTCTTACTGGGTTTTTTTAGGTGCTTCCTGCAGCAGCTTCATCTGGGCCCCCCTGCTGACGTGTGCTGTTCTTCTACTGCTGGCCCTGGCTGTCGTCATCCACCGCTTTCAGCGTAAGGGTTTGGCAGAGCACATGATTCACCCTTCTCCAAGATCCCTGCACTGCCCTGGGGGGGATTTCTCCATGCTCAGGGCTCTCCCTTCCCACAAATAAGGGGATGGAGGGGTCACCTTGGGCGTTCTCTGCCCCATACCATGCGCTGCAGAAAGCTGCCAATGGAGGCCAAAGATTGACTTAGAAGGAAAGATGGGGCAGGGGCAGAGCCCACAGGAACCCCTCAGATTCATGGTGGCTTGGGGTTGTGTGAAGCTTTCTGTCCCCTGCAGCATGGAGTAGACTTGCTAGGTCTCCAGGAGCAGGTGAAGGCAGGAACACCCTGGCAGGGCAGCTCCACTGGGTGAAGGTTTCAGGTGGGGAGGCTTGAAGAGGCAGAAATATCAGGGGCTGAAAGCAAGGAGCCTGAAGAAAGCACTGGCAGGGGGGCAAGAGCTAGGAACTGTTCTCCTGTCCTGACCTGTTCCCTTCCTTTTTTTTTCAGGCCTGCGCCGGAGGCTGAGGCTTCACTTCAGGAAGCAGTAAGTGGTTTGCTTGCTTTCTACAGAAAGACATACTGAAAAACAGCAAAAGCCATGATTTCCACCCCTCTCCCCCCTACTCCCGGCCTGCCATGGGCCAGAGCTAAAAGACCCGTCCTGGAAAATGCTGAGCCTCCCCTGTATGCGAGCTGAGGAGCTGAGGGCCATCAATTCTCAGGAACATCAGTGGGAGTTGAAGACCTCCAGCACCCAGGAGGAAGCACTCGGTGCTTTGCTGAATTGAGCTGTGTGTATGCACGCAGGTTGACTCCACTGATGAAGATGTCCCACCGGAAAGGCAGGCAATGCACCTCTTGTCTTCTGGGTACCCCCGCTCTGGTGTACCCCCACTTGGCTTTCACCCCATCAGCCAAGAAAGGCATTGTGCTGTCTGTTGAAGTTGCTTAAAGTTGGAGAGTAGCCACGTCATCACTAGAGAGTAGCCAAAAGCAAAATCCAGACCAGAACACCCTCTTCTCACCTCTACTCAAATTTGGGGGGGGGTTGGACTGAACTTTGCAGTAAAGCCCTAATCCAAACACCACTGTACGTTGGAAGGGTTTGGATCCAATTCTAGGCAAGGACTTTGCAAGGTAAGCCAACTTCTAGTCATGGCTAATGGGTCCACAAGA